GAATCTCCAGGTTGCCAATTTAAGTGCACATTGAGGTGAATGTCCATTACCATCATATTCCCCAAACCTTGTAGCATACCATTATCCAGAGGAAGTTATGGGGAAGCTCATGGTCACATAACTAATCAGTAGTAGAAATGGGGTAAGACTCTACCCTTTTATAACAGTACTAGAGGCCTGCTGTTTTTATAACAGAAATTCATGCACAGGTACGGTCCCTAGGCCTGGCCTGCGATCAGGGCCATCTTCCCCAGCTGCTCACAGCCGGCCCCGCCCCCTGCCGCCACCTACCCCCGGTTTCCCATTCACCATTGGGTGATCAGAGCCTGCTGGTTACGGGAAGGGACTGAGAGGTTGGCCATTCCCGCTTGCTAGCTGGCCCCACCCCCGCCGTGGGTCACCCTCTGTGTGTGGGGCAACTGGCGGGGCAGGGGCCTTGGCCTGGCACCACCCACATCCCCTGCCACCCACCCCCAGTTCCCCATTCACCATCAGGCGATCGGAGCCTGATGGACCAAGAGGTGGTCAGTGCACCTCATAGTGATTGGTTGAGCGGTCGTTCTGGTAGTTCCACCAATAGGGTCAATTTGCTTATTACCCTTTTATTATATAGGATAGAGGCCCAATGCACGGGTGGGGGCCAGCCGGCCTGCCCTGATGGCGGTCCCGGATTGGGGTGTGGGGTCCCCACTTGGGGGCGGGGCTGGCTGGGACGAGGGACTGCAGGTAGTTTGCAGGCCGGCCACGCCCTCGATCAGGATGGGGTGGTCCCTGCTGAGGGGCGGGGCCAGCCAGGGCGAGGGGCCGTGGTTGTTCTGGTCTCTGGTAGTTCTGCAGTTTCAGTTGCTGGGCTTTTGTTATATAGGACTAGTGGCCTGGTGCACGAAATTCATGCATGGGGGAGGGGGTGTTACTCAGCCCAGCCTGCACCCTCTCCAATCTGGGACCCCTCGAAGGATGTCCTACTGCCAGTTTACAGGGATCAGGCCTAAACCGGCAGTGGGACATCCCTCTTGCAATCCGGGACTGCTAGCTCCTAACCACTCACCTGCCTTCCTGCCTGCCTGATTGCCCCTAACCACTCTTCCTGTCAGCCTGCTCACCCCCAACTGCCTCCCCTGCCAGCCTGCTCACCCCAACTGCCCCCCTGCTGGCATGCTCGCCCCTACCTTCATTCCCTACTGGCCTGCTTGCCCCTAACTGCCCCCTGCTGGCCTGCTCACTCAAAACTGCCCCCCGCTGTCCTGATCACCTCCAACTGACCCCCACTGATAGCCTGTTTGCCCCCAACTGGCCCCCCTGGTGGTCTGCTTACCCCCAACAGCCCCGCCCCCCACCAGCCTGATCACCCACAACTGCCCTCCTCTACCTCAGTCCCACCACCACAGATTTGTCCAGAACATCTGGAAGGTCTCCTGGAAGGTCTTCCAGTCTAATTAGCATATTACCTTTTTATTAGTATAGATAGAGGCCTGGTGCATGGGTGGGCACTGGCTGGTTTTCCCTGAAGGGTGTCCCGGATCAGGGTGGGGGTTTCCTTGGGGCATGGGGTGGCCTGGGCAAGGGGCTTGTAGTGGTTTTCAGGCCAGCCACACCCCCATGGGGTGAGGGTCCCCGCTAGGGGGTCTGGCCAGCCTGTGTGAGGGGCTGAGGGCTGTTTTCAATCTGGCCACACCCCCTTCAGGGTGGGGGGTCCCACTGGGGTGCCTAGCCAGTCTGGGTAAGGGGCTGATGGCTGTTTGCGGCTGGCTAAGCCCCCCAGCGGGGACCCTCACCCCATGAGGGTGTGGTCAGCCTGGGTGAGGGGCTGAGGGCTGTTTGCAGGCTGGCCACTCCCCCTTCAGAGTGGGGGTCCCCACTGGGGTGCCTGGCAAGCCTGGGTGAGGGGTTGATGGGTGGGAGGTCCCACTGGGGTGCCTGGCCAGCCTGGGTGAGAGGCTGATGGCTGTTTGCAGGCTGGCCAAGCCCCCCAGTGGGGACCCTCACCCCATGAGGGTGTGGCCAGCCTGGGTGAGGGGCTGAGGGCTGTTTTCAGGCTGGCCACAGCCCCTTTAGGGTGAGGATCCCCACTGGGGTACCTGGCCAGCCTGGGTGAGGGGCTGCTGGCTGTTTGCAGGCTGGCCACGGCCCCCGGCAACCCACTATAATTGAAACTTTGTAGCCTTGAGCAGAGGCCAGGGCTGGCCAGGGTGGGCAGGAAGCTTGGCTTCCTCCATCGCTGGAAGCAACCCAAGCCTCCTGCTCGCTCCAGCTCCATGGCCGCCGCCATCTTGGTTGGGTTAATTTGCATACATGCTCCTGATTGGCTGGTGGGCGTAGCTTTGGGGTGTAGCAGAGTGACACCAATTTGCATGTTTCTCTTTATTAGTGTAGATAGCCTCACATTAATACAGAAAAAGAACAATAACCACTCTGAGGGAAGAAGGAAAGAGGGAGAAATGGACAATCAAAGGTTGAAGGTCAAGGGGAGCTGGAGTTCCTTCCTTACCAAAATGTACTGAGAATGAATGGGGAGGATGTAGTTCTTTTCTAAGAATCATAGGAAAGTTCTAGCCAGGATGGCAATGGGAAGATAAATTCAGCAAGTTCTCACAGAAGACAGAAGAAAAGTCAAAGAGAAAGGAAGAAACAGATGTATCTAGAAAACAAATATTATTTCTTAGTCTTTAGAGAGAAAGGAATTCTTGAGAACTGACTGGCCAACATTAATGAAGAGCCACACTCAGACACATCTAGGGGAAAAAAAATACACCTGAACATACTACAAATAGTATGCCATTCTTTAAAATAGTTTAATCATAGAAAAAAGCCTAAACACCCTAAATTAGGAATGTGACAGCCCACATTTTTTGATCATATCTCACACCAGATACTTTAAACATTAAAATGTATAAACAAAAAAAAAATGTACTTTAGGGAAATAAGAATAACTTTTCTATTTTTATAGTAGGGAAGAACTTTTGGCATAACATAAAGGGAAGAAAACATTTTTTAAAAACTCTGAATTTGAAACACAAACAAAAAATAGATCGACTATGAAAAAACATTTCTAAAACAACTTATAAGTCATAAAGTGAAATATGCTTGACATATAAACTTATTTAAAATAAACCAAGAAAGATAATACTCTAACAAGTGGGAAAGGTAATGAGTAGACAATTTAGAAATCCCAGTTATATCATTTAATATGTAATTTTGGAACAAGTGACTTAACAGAATCTATTTCCTCATTTCTCAACTTAAAATATTAGCATATTTCATCAATTCTGAGATGATATTGATTTATACATCAGGAAAAAAAAATGCCATCAATGAAACTATGACTTGCCAAAAATTGTAAAACCTATCACAATGTGAAAATAAAGTGCATCATAGAATTAATGAAATATAGTCAGACCTGTCTTATGGGTTGTTATGTGGATTCAACAAGATAACACATGTGAAGAATTTCAAACTAAAAGTGGCTTAAAGAAAACACAATAAGTTAGTTGCTTCTAGCAGTAACATGATCCCATTCTGAAAACAAATTTACATACCTAAACATATGTGCAGACAAAATAATTTGAAAATAGCCCTGGCCAGTGTGGCTCAGTTGTTAGAGCATAGGTGGGCACACCGAAAGGTTTCAGGTTCCATTCCAGGTCAGGGCCCTGGCGGGTAGTAGTCAGTCAATGTTTCTTTCTTTCTTTCCACCTCCTGCCTCCTTTCCACTCTCTCTCTAAAAAAAACAAAAAACCCACAAGAAAAAAAAAAAAGGAAAAAATATTCTCTGGTGAGGACTAAAAATAATAAGGATAATTTGAACCCAGCTGGTGTGACTCAGTTGTTGAGTGTCAACCTATGAACCAGGAGGTCATGGTTCAATTCCCAGTCAGGGCACAAGCCTAGGTTGCAGGCTCAATTCCAGTGTGGGGCACGCAGGAGGCAGCCAATCAATGATTCTCTCTCATCATTGGTGTTCTCACTCTCCCTTTCTCTTTGAAATCAATAAAAATATATTTTGAAAATATTAACAGTGACTATCACTAAATGGTGGGACCATGGATGACAAACTTGTCTTAATAAGTTTTGAAATATTTGCAAGAATCCTATATTATCTCAGTCATTAGAAAGAGAACAATTAGGTTATTTCTATCTTGGGAAAAAAATGTCTAGAATGAAAAGTGCAGGCAGGCATCCCAGGCTATTACAAATTTGGAAGCAGTCCTGGACAGTTTTTCTCAGTGGTTAGAGCATCAGACCAAAGTGTTGCGAGTTCCATTCCTGGTCAAGGGCATGTACCTCAGTTGCTAGTTCGATCCCCCATCCCAGTCAGGGTTTAAGCCAAGACAGTGGGTTGATATCTGTCTGTCTCTTTATCTCCCCTTCCTCCCTTCCTTTCACTCTGCCTAAAAATCAATGGAGAAAATATCCTTGGTGAGGATTAAAAATAAATAAATAAATTTTGGGAACAAATAGGCTAGTGCATGAGACACTGGAAGGGACAACAAAGAAATTAGGGAGATGGCAGTGAGTAACCTTATTCTGTTGGTCAACTTCCCTGCCAAATCACTGAGGCACATTTGGACTGTTGCAGGGGTGGGGAATGTTGGGCCCCTGGCCATATAAGGCCCATGAAATCATTTGGTGTGGCTCTGCCAAGGCATTAGGGGTGAATTAATTAAATGTTTGACCAAATATAGCAGGCTAATTTCTAAACTGGTAATTTTGTATGGCCTGTAAAAGATGCTATAAATATCCATATGGCCCTTGGCAGAAACAAGATTCCCCACCTCTGGACTATGGGAATGAACAAAATCCAGGGAAGTGAAAATTCTAGAACAAAGCTCTGGTTTAGGCTTCTGTCTGGTTCAGGAAAATTCTCCATAAATGTGGTTTCCTTCTCTCTTCCCTTTTCTCTAAATCACTAGAGTAAATCTCTTAGATAGAATCCTGAAATATTATGGTGTTCTGAAAACCAAGAAACCCTTTCCAAGAAGAAAGTGCCACATACAACTTGCCTCTGCCATGGCTTTTGATGAACAGCGGCTCTTCTTTCCTCCTGTTCTGGATTCTAAGAGAAGAAAAAAGGTGGAAAGAGATTAGAAAACTAGGAGACAACAGGCTCTCCCAGGTTCTGGAAGGAGGCCCAGTTAAAACAAATCCCTGCCCCACCCCAGGCACTAAGAGGTCCAAAGCCAAAGAAGCCTGCAACTTCCACCATCCTCTCCATCATATCACAGAAGCACAGTGGCCTTAGGGGTCCAGATGGGAGTCCTGGGAGAGAATCCTAGACTGTGGCTGCCTTCCTCCATAAAGCCTGACTTGGGGTTCTTCCAAGCCCCGTAGATTATCCTGAGCCCAGATCTGTAGCTCCAAGACACAGGGTAAGTGGATCCATCTGCCAGAGTACCCACACCTCTAGGCTGGGGGCACCTCTATGTGGCGAGATCCCTGGCGACCAGGGTGAAAGAACAAAAAGTACAAGTAGGAGGAGCTCCCAGGCCCAAGCTCTACAAACCGGCTGGACAGCAGAAACAACCTCCGGGCGAAAGCTATTCACCGGGCTGGAGAGCAAATGGCGGCGGTTTGTCAGCAGCGGCAGGGCTGGAGAGTGTAATTGGAGATACAAAGGCTGGAAATGCAGGCGGGGTCTGGGGTAGACGCCCAGAACCCATCCACCGCCGGACACTCCCAGCGTTGACCAAGAATGGACAAAGAGGGCGCCTTTCCCAGTTCTAGACCCAAAGGCAGAGACGGAGTCGTGGCCACATGGGATTCTCACACCAGGGCCACAGAGAGCTCCGCTCAGATAGTGCACTCCGCGTGTTACCACAGGCACTGCTAGCCCTGCGCCGGGAGTCGGCTCACGATACAGGTAGGGAAAGGGTCGCACGTCCTTGCCGCCGAGGCAACACCCGACCTCCTGGCACCTCCAGCTGAAACCACGTCCACCCCGTGCACGCGCGACCGCTACCTCCCCATCCGGCGGGAGGACACGCGGCCACGGCGCCCCAGGTCTCCCGGACGTCCTTTCTTTTACCAGCGAGGGCATGCAGCCCGGACACGCCCCAGAGACACCCAGCCCCGCCCGGGGGTGCTTCATGTCCACTTACCCGGGTGCCTTGTACTCCGGTCTGAGCGAATCCGCCACTAACCAGTGAACTAGTTTGTGACGCGCTTCCTCAAACTTACCACAGGCCAGCCAACTCTGGCTGTAAATGGATACGCCGCGGAGCCGTAGGGAAATGTAGTCCACCAGAGGGAAATCCAGCGAGGGTCCGGCCGGCTCAGGCTTCTCCGCCGACTCAGCCTTCTCCGCCGACTCGCAGCCCAAGCCTTAGTGAAGCTCAGTGCTGATCACCCAGTACACCTGAGCATCCTCCGAGGATCTGGGCGACCCGACAGGTCTGGGTAGCGCGAGGTGGCTGCTGAGGATTAAGAACAGGTGGTGGACCCTCAAGGCTTCTCAGATATGTCGCCCACAGCTTGGGAAAGGGCGGAGCGGTCCTCCACCAGGATGACCCAGAAGTTAAACCGTCTCCAACAGTCTTCGCCCCAAACTTGGAGATGCCCAGAGATCTCTAAAAACTGTAGTTAAAAGCCGGGAAACCGACTGTCCAGAGTTCTCTCCACAAGGAGCAGGGCTCTGAGAGCAGGGCCAGCAAAGGACTACTCTCCACCACGTCACAAACTAGGAGTCGTCCGGACCTGGGCGGTTCAGCCCTCGGAGACCCACAATACTGGTTGCGCTGGGTGCTCAATTTTCAGCTGAGAATTTTTTCCCTGTACCTGGGCGCTGCTGGGAAGTGTAGTCCTTAGTCCGGAACGCCATAACACTGCAGCCCAGGCTTTTCAGCACAATTTGAGCGGCTGGATAGTGGCTGGGTACACCCTGGAGGCATCCGCGAAGTGTAGTTCGGGCCTTGGAATTTGGGGATGTGCCCAGACTGAAGGCAGGCAGGCTTGAGCTCTGGGTGAAGGAATCTGAGAAGGGACTGGGAGGACAACCCTGAGTACCAATACAAAACTACTATTTTTATGTTTTATAAATACATAAATACATATAGAAAGGCACTTAATAAGCTCTCTGGAAAGTTACACTAACATTTGTTAACAGTTTATTTCTAGGACGTGTAATTGTGACACTTATTCTTTTTACTTTAAGAGTATGCTCCTATTTGGGGCATTATCATGTCCTTCTTATGAAACATTGCTTATTAAATTTAGTTAAATATAAAATGAGTAAGTATATACCTGAAACCGATGTACTAGAAAACAAAAAAGTGGACCAGATTTTTAAAATTCACAATTTGGTTCTAAGAGATCAATTAAACGAAATATTGATAAACAATAGCAAAACAAAAAATTAAATCAAAACAAAAACATTAGAAAGGTTAAACCACACAGCATTTCACAGAAAGTTGAGGCTGTTGGGTATTATGTGCAACTCTATAACCACAGTAGAGGTAATTGTAGATTTTCTAGTAAAATTTAAGTTATTAATTTTACTAAGAAGTAGAAAACCTGAATGAAACAATAACCATAATAAAACTTAAATGTCTTTTTTTTAAATATATGTTATTGATTTTTTACAGAGAGGAAGGGAGAGAGATAGAGAGTTAGAAACATCGATGAGAGAGAAACATCGATCAGCTGCCTCCTGCACATCTCCTATTGGGGATGTGCCCGCAACCCAGGTACATGCCCTTGACCGGAATTGAACCTGGGACCTTTCAGTCCACAGGCCAACGCTCTATCCACTGAGCCAAACCGGTTTCAGCTTAAATGTCTTAAAATATGTACTAATGAAAAGTATCCAGATGATTATAGCTGAGTTTTAGCTAATTTTTGAACTCATAATGATTATGCAATTTATTCAGATCTTAGAAAATGATGGAATGTCCTCTAATAATTAATTTTGTCTAACTAATATAAAATCTGATAAAGACAGGCTAAAAGAAAAGTATTACCCATCTTGTATTAAAAGATAAACTGAAGCATGTTATAATTTTCAAGAGTTTATGTGAGCATAGATTTGAATCAGATAGAGTGCTCCACCAACAGGAGCTAGTGAAGAGATTTTTATAGAGAAGACCCAGAAGCAAAACAAGGAAATTATTTGGTTGGTACAGCTTAAGCATTCGCCTTATTTTGGAAAGCTAAATTGGATGTTTGTGATTGGTTGTTTTTAAATTTTATTTTCTCCAAATAGAGTCATTCACCCTGGATTAGTTTTTTGTTTGTTTATGTAGGGACTGAAGGCAGTATAGCTACCTAAATCTAATCGTGTCTTTGTTTAATAACTTTAACATTTGTAATTAGTTATTGATGCAAAAATTCCAAATAAGAGGCTGATTTCAACAATGTAGTTTAAAATTTGTAGAATGAATTTCATCAAAATATTTCATAAAATTGGAAGAACCGTAAGCAATCCAGTGACAAAATGCATTGTATGAACAAATTAAAGGAGAAAAAGAAATATATATATTAAATGATGCCAATAAGATAATGTGGTAGATAGAATAATGTGGTAGATAGAATAATAATGTGGTAAATAGAACACTTCAAGATGTCCAAGTCCTAATCCCAAGAACCTGTAAATGACTATGTCATTTTACATGTCAGAAAGAGACTTTGCAGAAGCACGCATTAAATTAAGGCACATTAGAGATGAGAAGATTATCCTGGAATATCTGAATGGCCTAATGTAATCACAAAGGTCCTTATAAGAGAAAGGTAGGAGCATCAGAGGCAGAGAGGTTGGGCTTTAAAGATGGAATAAGATGCCATGAGCCAAGGAATACAAGTAGCTTCTAGAACAGTGATGGCGAACCTACAGGTCTGGGTAGCGCGAGGTGGTGACATGCGAACTCATCGACAGAGACAAAATATTGCATAATTCAAATATTTGTCTCTCGCAACGGCCAGAGTTGGGCATCACTCGAGGATAATATTACTCACGTTACTCATGATCAATAATGCAATTCTAAAACCGGATGTAAACATGTACATCGGTGTTTCGTAGCAAAGATACATAGTGAAAACATCCAAGATACATTGTTCCAATATTGACATTAATATAAAAAGGTTAAGAATTGCACTATAAAGAGATTAATCTTTACTCATGACATCAAAATGCCCACTTCTGGAAATGGCCTCGTTATTGTCAACATGTGCCTCTGGTAAGCTTACCGTGCGTTCGCATGCATTCGGCAAATGGACGCACTTGATTGCCATGTTCATTAGGAGACAGGAGTGGGAGGGTTAGAAGAAAAAGATATACAGTGCAACAGTGTTCAACGAGACATTCTGTGTGTCGGATAATTGATTACAGCACCATATATTTGTTGGTTATACATACTATCTTTGAATTGTTTTGCACCAGGAGTCAGTGCATCAACACTGAAAAAAGTTAATAGGTAAGAAACCTATCAACCTTTTATAAAAAATGCCGTGATTTATATTTATTTATTTTTGCAGCCTCATAATGGAGAATCAAAAAAAAAAAAAAAAGCAAGATTGAATGATAAAGAAAGTGGAAGTAGCAGAAGCTGACCCTTTCAAGACATATGGACCGAGATGTACGGGATTGTCGACAGAAACAACAGGTCATTGTGCATACTGTGTAATGAGACGGTAGTAAGCAGAATGTGGAATTAAAGAGACATTTTGAGACTAATCATTGTCAGCTCTTGTAAAAAGTATCGATGAAAGGAAGGAATACATTTCTAGGCAGCTACACCTCTATAAAAGTCAATCAAATTCCATCATTAAATTTGTAAGATGCTCTACAAATTTAACATCAGCAAGTTACTGTATTGCTCACTCCATAGCTCAGCATGGAAAAGCCCTCAGTGACGGAGAATTTATTAAAGAAACAATTCTAAGATGTGCACCAGCTCTATTTCACAATATGAAAAATAAAGATGATATTATTAAAGAATTTCTGAGTTACCACTCAGTAGAAATACTATCAAAGACAGAATAATAGATCTTAACAAAAACATACAACATCAATTTAAAAAAGACTTAAATAGTTGTAAATATTTTTTTATTTCTCTTGATGAAACTACTGATGTCACATCAAATGCTCGGTTGGCCATTATTGCTAGATACTCTGGTGGTCTCACAATGAGAGAAGAGTTGATAAAGTTAGAATCAGTGCCAATAAGTACATCAGGAAATGAAATATGTAAGGTTGTTATAAAAACATTCAGTGACCTAAACATTGATATCTCTAAAATTGTGTCAGTCACGACAGATGGGGCACCAAATATGGTGGGAAAAAATGTGGGATTCCTGAAATTGTTTATGGAAGCTGTTAGACATCCACTTGTACCTTTTCATTGCATTATCCATCAGGAGGTGTTGTGTGCCAAATTGGGATTCTCAGAATTGAATGATTTAATGTCAGTTGTAACAAAAATTGTGAATTTTATAGCTTCTCGACCCCTTCACAAGCGAGAATTTTCAGCACTTTTACAGGAAGTTGATTCAAGCTGCAGTGGACTACTGATGTTCAATAATGTGAGATGGCTGAGTCGGGGTAAAGTACTTGAGCGATTTGTGGAGTGCTTTGAAGAAATTACAATATTTATTGAGAATAAGGATCTGGCAAACTTTCCTCAGATCAATGATCATAAGTGGGTCAGCAATTTGATGTTTTTTTATAGATCTCTCTGTTCATATGAATGAACTGAACTTAAAATTAAAAGGTTTTGGCAAAAGTATTGACGTTATGTTTGGATACATCAAATCTTTTGAAAGTAAACTTAAAATTTTCAAGCGAGATTTTGAAACTAAAACTTTTAAGTAATTTTCTTAAAATTACTTTTTGTCCTCTGGTGAATAGCTTTTCGCCCGCATAATTTAGGATAGTTATTTGAACAGTTCAACAAAAGATTCAACCAATTTAGAAGCCTAGAACAGACTATTAAAATAATTAAGTATCCGGATGTAGTTGTTTACAGTACTTTGGAATTAAAGGATTTCCAATGGATGCAAATTGACGATTTAGAGATGCAACTTGCAGATTTTCAAGGTAGCATTTGGACTCATGTGCTTGTCGACTTAAGGTCAAAACTTGAAAATCTGGAACGAAA